TTCGTTTTATCGAAGATTTTATCTTATATATTTTAATTAAAAAATTAAATATATATAAATAAGCATTTATAAATAATTCAAAATTTTATTAATAGTAAGTTTTGTAAAAATACAAAATATTGTAAGAAATTGAACGTTAATTCTAACATAAAACAACTCAAATTAACTTTAATTAAATTTTCATCTAACATTTCAATATAGGAGTGTTAATTTTGAAAAACAAATACAGTGGTGCCTCATATAATGTACTTAATCTGTTCCAGATGCATGTCTGTTAAGTGAAAAGTCCGTTATATGAAACGCATTTTCCCATAGAAATATATGTTAGTACCGTTAAAAAAATAAAAATGGAGCAGTCACCAATTATGCCGGGTAGTCAGATGTGAGGAGGAGGTGGAGGAACACTTTCTTCATACATTCATACAGATACAGACTTTTTACACATTGCAGGAGGTCTCTTTTTATTGTTTTTTAATCGGATTCAGATTCAGGAGAGGCTACTGGGGCTTGCAGAGTCAACTCCTCTTATTCCATCCTTCGTTTTTTTGGCAGTTGGCTTCTTGAAAAACATGTCCAAGGTGGTCTGTTTCTCTCTCTTCTTCAACACCTGTCAGAAATGACGGGCAAGGGTGTCATTGTACAGATCATTGATCCTGTTGGGCTCAGCTCTGTTTGGATAATGAGTGTTGGCAAACTCCTGAACCTCTCCCCATTTGACAAGGAAGTTTTTGTCAACTTTCACTCCTTCTGATGATGTCTTGCTTTGTTTCAATTGAAATCACCTTTCCGTTTTTTTAGAAGCCATAGATTTGCACAACACTTGAATAAATGTAAATACCCTGCACTGGGAGCAAGCCAAATCCCAACAGGAGCTCTGTACTTCAGATATACTAATAATATATTCTAATAATACTAATATATCCTAAAAATAGCAGATTGTCATTGGCAACGGCAAAAGAGGGGAAACACCATTCACACTTGTTTGCAGAAAGTCCATTGTTCACGTAACTGCCGAATGGAAAGTCCGTTGTTCACAGCTAGTCCATTGCTCGAGCCACATAATGGCCAAACAAAGTCCATTGCTCGCAGTGTCCATTATTTGAGGCACCATTATACAACTAATTACAATAAGACAAATGCAGTGATAATTTATAAGAAAATTCATCATCAAATATGCATTAATATAGCAGAGAATAAAAATAAAAGTTTTTAAAAAGTTTAAGTACCAGTACTTATAATTTCACTAAATATTTTAAGCATTTGTTTAGATTATTTGAAAAGACAAAATTTAAAATTCTGGATACTTACCACACCTTTTACAAAGCTAAGATAATTTGGCATCATATCTTGAAAATCATCGGTAATGAAAACTCTGCGGACATATAACTGAAAAATCATGAAAAAATGTGTTATAACATTTACATTGGCTAATTTTAGTTTGAGATAAGTTGTTCAATAATAATAATAAATACCTTAATATGATCAACTTTAGTTCCATATCTGTTGAATGATTCTGATGGTTGAACACTAGGAATATAAAGCAAAGATTTAAATGTGACTTCTCCTTCTGCAACAAAATGGATCTTTGATAACGGACTAGAAGTATCTTTTGTAATTGATTTGTAAAATTCTTCATATTCATCATCTGTAATCTCGTTAGGTCTAGAATAAAAATATGTAAACTTTTTAACATTTAAATAGATAAAAATTAATAATTTAACCAATATTTAGAAAAAAAAAAAAAAAAAAAACAAGTCTAGGTACATTCATAATATCAAACATAATGCCAAATGAACTGCCAGATTATTAAAAATTGGACTATAGGATAATTTAACGATTAAAGTAATTATAGGTACGTAGTTAGGCCATCATCTAATAATTTAAATCTGTAATATTCTGAGAGAAATGATCAGCTCTGAGTGAAACTTCAACCATCAACTCCTGTATACTGTACAAAAGCATTGCCAGTTAAGCTACCTGGATTCCCATCCAATCTTTGCTCCAGAACATTTAATTAATAAACTACTTTATATGTAACCATACTGGTCACTTACACATCAACCCAATTCAATGCCATGTTATTGAAATGTCAAATATAGTTTATAAAAGAATTAAATTATTTAATTTATCATCTGGTACTCATATTTGCTTTATTTATCTTCCTAATAATTGAAATAAATAATTTAATCAAGTTTGTGATAACATAAATTTGTCAAATTACTCATAACATATTAGGCAAAAAGTAATTTTTCTTCTGCATATTTACTTAAAATACATCATTGTCATTACTAATGCTTTATCAATAACGCAACCTTGAATCCTATCACTATGTACAGTGATAGTAAATGTACAGTGGTACCTTGGTATACGTCTGCTTTAGAATACATCCAATTCGGAATACGTCTTGTTTGGACAAAACAAATTTTGCTCGGTATACGACTTAATTCGATTATACGCGCCATCTATGAACAAGAAGCCCTATCGGTGTATTAGACCACACTAGACGTTCGCGGTGCCACAGTTTATAACTTTGTTAAATTTCTTTGATTTTAATTTGTAAGTAAAATGTTATTTTTATTAATCATGAATTGCAAAAGGCAACAGAAAAATGACTAAAATCACAATGGAACTGAAAAAAGAGATTGTTGAGAAATATGAAGGTGGCATGAGTGTTCGAGATTTAATTGTTGCATACCGTATTCCGAGAACGACGATATCGACAATCGTGAAAAATAAAGACGTTATTAAATTTGCTAACGTTGTGAAAGGGGTTAAATCAATTTATAAACAGAGATCGAAGACATTAGATCATGTTGAGAAATTGCTTTTGCTTTGGATAACTGAAAAACAGTGTGCTGGAGACAGCGTATCAGAAGCAATTATTTGCGAGAAAGCTAAAGATACACGCTGATCTCATGAAAAATCAAGCAGGAACTAGCCAGGAAAGCGAGGTGTTTAAAGCCAGTCATTTTTTTTTACATGAAAACGGATTAATCATTTTTACATTACTTCTTAAGCCCTGGTCACACTATGCGATTTCCAGCCGCGCAGGCGACTGCAACCGCGACGGCTGTTCTCGTTAACTAGTAATCCCCCCTCGAAAACCGGCGCGACTGCAATGGCAACTAGAAACAAAAAGTTTGTTCTACTCGCGACGATTGCAAATGCGCATCCAATCAACAAACGCCTTTATGCCACGTCATACAGTGACAACATTGAAAATAGTTCATCATCATGGCGGATAGTCAGAGGATTAATACTTTTACAGAATCGAGATTGATCGAGCTTATTCAGGCTCACGAATACCTGTGGGATTTTAATTCTTCGTTTTATCGAAGATTTTATCTTTTCATGTATTTTCGCCAGCTCTATTAAAATAATCGCCTTTTTTTCTTTTATTCATTCCAGAAAAGGAACTGCTTGCTATTTTAATAAGAAAAGTGGCTAAAATTCCGTAAATACTCTGAAGTAGAACGTAAAATATCGGCAAACTCACGAAAGTAGTCAAAAACAAGCTACTGTAATTTTATTGGTTTATTATAGGGTCACGTGTTTCCGAGTTGCAACGTCAGCGAATAATGTGTGACCACGAGAAGACGCGCGCAACTCTCGCTTGTTGCAGTTGCAGTCGCCTGCACGGCTAGAAATCGCATAGTGTGACCAGGGCTTTATGGGAAAGGTTGGTTTGGTATACGTCCTATTCGGTATAAGTCCAAACACCAGGAACAGATTAAGGTCGTATACCGAGGTTCCACTGTATTTATTTTTAAACATAAAAAAAGAAAATAAATGCATTTAAGACATTTTACTTAATTTTTAAAATTTTTATAAGTACAACTTACAAGGAGAGGGTCAGATGTTCAGGTTTCAAATTTGAACAAAACTTTGTGAGCATATAGCCCTAAACACAAACAGCTCCTTTTTCGGCAATACTTGAGAAGCGAGTAATATAATTTGGACAAGGAGCTGTTTGCATTTAGGGCTACGTGCTTACCAAGTTTAGTTCATTTCAGAGACCTGAATGTCTGACCCTTCTCTTTGTTAGCAGATATCCAACAGAACTGAAGAATCTGGAAAGCTTAGCTATTTTAGACCCATTTTTTAAAAGTCTATTTTATGTATTACTAGCTTACCCGTTGCGCATTGCTGCGATCTCAGAAGAAAGGAAATTCAAGCAAACTCGTTATGATAAAATTCAATTTACATTTTATCATTTTTATTGAAACTTATTATTATTCATTTTCATCGGGAAAACATTTCAAAGTGTTGTTTCAATTCTATTTATTTATTGGAGTGTTTGTGGATACACGATATTTTTTGTATTTCTGTCTGGTGCATACACGAATAAATCAAAAGGTTTTCCGACGCGTGAGCCGGCCACATACAGTTATCCATGCGAGAAGCACGGATTCTCCAAATTTAGCCCACACACTCGCAGCGATTGTCAGAAGCACGATATTCACCATTCATATATATATTTTTTAATCCTTTATAATTTTAATTATTTAATTGCTCCTTCCTCTCTTCTTTGGCATGTTGTGAAATTTCTGATAGTCGGATAATAAACCGTTTTACTGTAATTTGTCTTTTTAAATTGTTTTGAGTCGATATTAAAATTTGGAAAAGAGGGGATACATAGATCGGTAAAATACGTGAATTTCTTCCTACAACATCGGTTGTTGTTCAGGGTACAGTTAAGGTTTTAACGAAGTTTGAGCAAATACATAATTAACAAAAAAAGTTGAAATAAAGTGATTAAACAAAAATTATTACAAATATTGTAAATAACAGTTCACAAATGCATATATAGAGATATTTTTTGAAGAGGGAAACGGTCTTCACAATTTGAAATCGATCGAACACACAGTGCTCGAATGTTCATGTAAACGCGTGCCATCTATCGTAGGATAAATGCCAGAAATCTTCGCGGGAGTGTATTAAAAAACTTCCCAAAGCTTCGTGGCAATCGTACTACACCAGAAACCTTCACGGGAGTATATTAAACAACTTCTCAAAGTTTCACAGCAATCGGATAAACAGTGTGGTAATGCATGAAGGACACACACACACATTCATTTTTATATATATAGATCCGTATTNAAAATTAACTAGAAAAAAATTTGGTCAAGAAATTTTGTATTAAGTAAAAAACTTGTAATCTGGTAGAAATTTGAGTATAATGGGAAAATGAAATCTTACCAATTGAACTTTACTTGATATCTATAGTGATATTAAAAAAATGAAGATATTTTACAATTAAATAAATTATATAAATAGGAGTTTTTGAAGTTTTATCACATTTTTGACAAAAGGAAAAGATGTTTTTATATAAAAGGAAGTTATATATGATTATTCTATTTTCAACATAGTATGTGCATATATTAGCTTACTTTCTAGTCCATATTGGTTTAGAATCATTGATCAGTTCCCAATCCCAGGTTGTTTTTTCAACCTTCTTTGTTTTTGGTTTTTCTTCCTTTTCTGTTTCTTCTTCAATTTTGGCATCTTCATCTTCTTCTGCTGCTGGTTCTTTTGTTGTTGTTTCTTCCTCTTCCTCTTCAATTGGTTCTTCAACTGTTTCAGTCTAAAATAAATAAAATGAATTAGTTGAAATTCGTTATGAAAATTAGTCAATATAAAATTACTTAAGCTATAATTACCTTGCTTGTCCACAGATAGATATTAAAGTTAATAAACTGGCTGTATTTCTTGATCAGATTCTTCAAGGTATCTTCTTCCAAGAAGTCGCGGGCTTCTTCTTTCAAATGGAGAGTAACAGTGGTACCTCGTTTAAGTGTGTCACCTCTTGGATCCTCACTAACTGTGAACGAAGCAGCATCAGATTCCCAAATATGCTGCTTGTCTTCGTTGTGTTTACTTGTTACTATTACTTTGTCCGCAACCAAGAAAGATGAATAAAATCCAACCCCAAACTGTTAAAAGGTAAATCAAAAAAATTAAAAACAGCCATTTAAACTTTAATATTTAAATTTTAATTTTATTTCAACAACTTACTTGACCAATCATGTCTCCTAATTCAGCAGTAGTAGCAGATTCTGCTACTTTTTGCAAAAATTCAGATGTTCCGGATTTTGCAATCGTACCAAGATTATTAACTAGTTCCTCTTTCGTCATACCTATTCCTGTATCTGTTATGTGTAGTAGATGGTTCTCTTTATCACTCTACCATGAAAATAATTTGCTATTAACAATATATTCAGGGTTATATTATTTTTGTAAATGCTTTAAAGATGTTAATACCTTTATTCTAATTGACAGTTCTTCTGTAGCAGATAGAGCATCTTTATCTGTTAATGAGAGCACTCTGATTTTGTCTAATGCATCCGAAGCATTAGAAATCAATTCACGAAGAAATATCTAAAAGATTTATTAAAATATTTCATTAAAAAACTATTCAAATAAACTTTTTTAAACATTTATTTATAATTAAATTACCTCTTTATTTCTATACAAGGAATTAATGATAAGTTTCATCATCCGATTGACTTCAGCTTGAAATGCAAACTTTTCTGCTTTCTCTCTCATTTCTTTTATTTGTGCTACACTCAATCCATCCAATTTTATTGCTTCTTCCTCTCTAAAATTAAATTAAAGATATGAAATTAAGTTCATAATTTGTCTAGAAATTTTCTAAAATAGTGAAGTAACAACTTCATAATATTCAAAACATACAAATCAAGCAAACCATAGCTTAACTGCAATTCTTTATTTCCAAAATAAACACAGTAAAACGTCGCTAATTCAAAGTTTAATGTGGGTAAAAATAAATACCTATGAGTGAGAGTTGACTCAAGTTTAATATCCAATTTTCTCAAATTTTTATGACCATAAATTTCCCATTACAGTGTTGTTTCTGAAGAATCTGTTTACATAATGATTACAAAATTGTACATAGTTTATGGTGCTTTTGAGTGCATTATCTAGATACCTGCTTGTGTTCCACTCAGACTGCTAGTAACATACCATATCAGTTAAAGGACGTCAACACAAAACTGTAATAATGTTACATTAAATTATTAAAGAAGTTCTGGCAATTGGAATATTTATTATACTATTTCTTAAATCCAATTTTGCTGATTACAGAATGGATTCTATGTTAATAATTTGTTTAAGAGTAAAAGTATTTAACTTTTTCTGTACCAAATCAAAGCTATGGATTATAAGTAATAATTTGATTATAAATGAAAATAAACTATTTCTACAATATTACAAAATCTCAAAGCCTGTATTAATAAAGTAATTGACAGAAGAGCTGCATAATGGCCATTTCTGCCCGCTGCTTCAAATCAAATTTTAGGCTATGATTTTATTGCCATATAAAGATTGAAAAAATATATATATATATAAATGAAATGTCACTTCCACTCTCTTTTAACTTATGTCGATAAACAGGATTCGCTATTGATACCCTTGCATAATTTGACAATTGGAAACATTTTTCAATTACAATACGTTTCTGTAAGTCCAGGGTTTCAAATTTAATATATTCATTGATTACAAAACAAATCAAGTAGAAGAATATTTGCCTAAATTAATTAAAACTTGAAGCTCTGATTCAGAAAGTTCTACTGCCAATTAATAACTTTTAAATCATCATCATCTTTATACTAGAAAAATAATTCAAATTTTTATTTAATTATTATGAGTGAGTACAAAAAATTTAAGTTTTTAAATATAAAATTACACGTTTCATTTTATGGAAAATTTTCATACTGAAAGTGTGTCTGTTATACTACTTATAAAATTTTAAAAAATAATGAAATAATAATGTAATTTTCTATAATTATAATATTTATTCCTGTTAACATTCCAGGTATAAATCCAATTAAATTAACAATTAAAAAAATCTGACACTAAATAAGGATATGAACTGATTGCAGGATAGCAATCACCAAATAACTATATGTAACAGCTAGACATAAATTATATCTTTACGATTAGATTTATTTAAATGAAATAACTTAATTATTTAATTCATTAAACTAATTATTCAAAATATTCAATTGGAATATTTTAGATAATGTTCTGTATGATTAAGTTAGTGACTTAGGAGGAAAAGCAATTTTAGTATAAGAAGAAACAAATTCCAAAATACTTAAGATAAAATGAATTTTATTGCATAAAAATTCACTTTGATCCTAATATCAAAAGTTACTATCTAAATTGAGTGTGGAAAATTTTAATGATAAACTACTAAATAATTCCAAAATCATTAAATATTTGGTTATGTTTTTACAAGAATTTATATATATATAATTTACATAAAAATGTATTAATAATCTAAAATATTCTAATATATGTAATTAAAATGGTGATGAAATTTTCTATTTTTACAAATTAAACTTTCAAAACATTAAAAATTGCTAGACATTTTGATTTACATCATCCTATTAATATTTATTATTAAAAAAAAATCTGTAAATTAGATGTAATTTATATTTTCAAAAACTAAATTCTAAATATTTAACTAATGTTAATTTTAAAACACTGTTTATTTTAGTAATTACTCTTTTACAAAACAATTAAAAAAGAAACAAAATCTGTCTTGACACTTAACATTTATCATCATTATTATTGCCTCATTTACTATTTTAAATAATTATTAAAATTTTTTCTTTATATAATTAAAATTCTTTCTGTTATGCATTATTTCAGTTTCATTAATAAAATAATTCCTTACTTTAAATAGAAAAATTTTATCTAAGATTTTGAATAGGGCTGAGGCTAAGCATACAAGCACCCTGAGCGAGGTTACCTTGGTGCTTCTCAATTGGCAAAAATACTGCATAACAATAAGCATATTAAAAACAATTTGTACAAAAACATCAACTAAATAAAAAATAAAAAAGTGTAATTTGTTGACTAATAATTTTGTTGGCCAGGAAATTTTTAAAACAACACAAGCATTTAATAAAAACACCAATTAAAAGGAAATAATTAGTAGAGACAAAGAAAATGATTGTAATTGGAAAGAGCTAATTCTTAGAATTAGAGATTAGAACTTGCTCAGGAAAAATTTAAGAATATACCAGCTACAATCAGTCACGTAGCTAGAGTTTGTGCCACTCGGAACAATCCTTGTGTTTCTTTGTAAGGTAGCACACATGATATAATGCACAAACATACTTAGACAAAAAGTGAAAAAAGATGTAGAGACATAGGGAAAAAACCTATGGAAAGAATTAAGACACTGTTACCGGTGCTATTATGCACAAGGATCAATAAGGCCATCTTCAAAGGAATGTGGTCTTTATCATTGTCAGATTTTTCTGATAATGAGTAGTATTTTTGTGAAAAAATAAGATGGTGTCTGGTGATTTTTATCTATCCTAATAAAAACTTCTCTTTGTTGCAATACAACAAAAGTGCCAATCAGGGTGGACTGTCCTCCCCTAACTATGCTATTGGCTATATCTTTTATGTTGCACGAATTAAGACACCATGGGCAATTGTAACAACTGTAATTACTGATTTTGAACTTAAGTTATTCATTTGAATAATTTGCTTATTAATAGTAAATTTAATTTATTCTATTAGTAATAATGAAACAAAACTATAGTATTTGCTTAACACTGCAAAAATTAAAGTTAGATTTTAAGTGAAATATAAATTAATATACAATTTAGAATTTAATTTAAAATTTGATCCTCGATATCAATAATAACTTTCAAAATGATACACCATGAGAAACTGATAAGTTTCTCAGAGATTAATTTCTTACTCGTTTTAATGCTGTGTAATTTAAAATATCACGTTAGCAACAATAATTGCTAATATAATCTAAAAAAATAAATTAATTGATATTCTAATCATTAAAAAAATATGTATATGTTATTAGATATTATGCACACTTATTAAATTCAATATTGAAAATATAATCAATTTTCTATAAATAGGTTTCATTTTTTAACAATTATGTTAAGTGTTAAACATTAAAAAAAACTATCTTTGTTAAAGTAAATATTTAAGTTATACCCAAACAGTATAAATACTAAATACTAACGAGCAATTATTTATTGTGACATCATCACAATGCCAGGCTGCAATTTTTAATCATAGTCAGTGGTGTAACAAACATAACTAGCACCTGGGGCATACACTTTATTGACGTTCCCCCTCCCTCCAGAAACAAATCTTGCTTGTCTTGGAGACCATTTGGGCCCCTCTGTGAGTGGCGCCAGGACATGATAGACCCCCCTGCTATGCTAGTAATCATATTTTTAATTTATTTAATTTAAAATATATGCTCCCCACCTCAAATTAGTATACTGCAGTGTCTTGCCCCTGTACATCATATTTTTAATGTAATGGAGTTGTGCCAGTCATCTATCTAATCCCTTTCGGGGGAAAAGCTTTGAATTGAAATAACATAGCTTCTGGTTTGTGCCAGAAGTTCATGTATAGTTAATCGTGGCCTCCAGCTCCCATACTTTCTATATCTGGTCTAGTCATGTATCTATCTCTTTCTTGACACTAAAGGACAGATGGATGGATGACAATGGGAATTTATAGGTTTATTGGGTTGAAATTTGAAAAAAAATTGCAACCCAATGAATGTGTCAATATCTTCTTAAATACAGTATAATTCACTTATTGTATTCAGTTTCAGTTATTGTTGTCATTATTATCTTCAACTAAAGACACTTTTAAGCTGTCTTTTTGTGCTATCAGCTCAACATGGCTGATTGCTATTATATGTCTACAGTAAAGTGACAAATAGATGATCTGCCAAGGGAGAATGCTTTCTGGGAGGTCTTTTATGGGAAAAAATGATCCCTATTTAGGTTTTACTAACAAGAAAACCTGGAAAACTTCAGATGGTCAGCCTGATGGTGAGGAGTGACCCTACAACCGACCAACTATCAGTGTTTGGTGATTTTAGCCAATTGGCCAGTGGTGGACTAACTTAGCTGATAATGATTACATGTTATCAGGTTTAACCAATATTTTAAACATTAAATGTTTGATATTTTAGTTATTTGTCCAATAACTGTAATTTAAATCATTGGAATTTTTTACTTCACTTATGCATTAGTTTCTATTAAAGATAGTATTAAATAAACAAAAACAAAAAACAGCAGCACACATTGGATGAATTATTATTAATTAACAACAATAATTATAATTCGTAAATCTGATATTAAAAGCACATACTATTAGGTTGTTCGGAAATTAAGTTCGTTTTTTTACCACTAGACGGCTTAGTCATATTTCTCCCGCCATTTTCATTCTACACCGTATTATCATTATATATTTAGACAGCTAGCATTTTAAGGCTTATTTGTAAAAAATTTTGTGTGAATTTGTGCAATTGTTTATTTTTTGTGTCCCATCAAATATGGAAGATCGAAAGCAGCAATTTCGGCATATTTTACTCTTTCATTACTGAAAAAGGTAAGAATGCTGTTCAAGTGAGAAAAAAATTGTGCGACGTGTATGGAGAAGATGTGTTGAGAGAAAGACAGTGCCAAAACTGATTTACAAAATTTTGTTCTGGCAATTTCAATATTGAAGATGCACCATGTTCTGGATGGCCAGTTGAAGCCAATGAAAACAAAATAAAAAAGGTACTGATTG